ATATTTATGTTTGTGGTTGTAATGTGACAAAATATGGAAAAGTTCAAGGGGTATGAATACTTTTGCAAACCACTGTATTAAAGTTTGAACGGTAAGACCACAATGGCTTTTTTAAAAAATATATAATTTTTTTTTTAAAACCCAACAGGTGTGGACGGTCCTCCAATAATCATGCACACAGAGTAAGGGACACATTGAGATGAAGACATACACGTGAACAGAACTGAACCAAACCAAAAAGAGTAGAACCGTGATCATGGAGAAGGGGCTAAAGTTGTTCCTCAGTTCACCCACACAGAGCTTTCTGCTGGATGTTTGAGGGTCCTGGTGGGAATATGGAMRAGAGGTGGGAGGTTGTTTTTTGGCACTGGCACTTTCAGAGAAGGCCAGGCTGTGACATTATGCCAACCAGGCAGGACTCCCGGAAAATCCATGGTAAATACCACCTCCCAAAGCACAAATGTCAATGAGTTTTGATTTTATTTATTTATTTATTTATTTATTTATTTATTTTGAGGGTTTGCATTTATTTATTTGTTTGTCTCTGTGAGTTTTGAAATGTGTGTGGCCGTGTGTGTCTAGCTTAGTGCATATTTATGCCTTGTAATGAAAGGACACTAGCAACAAGCTGGATGATGTGTTGCAATGACATGAATGGAGAAAAAAAAAAACAACAGGCCAGACACCTAATTATCCATCAACGATCCAACGACACTGAGAAAACATGATCTCACTGCTGAAAGAATGTTTTTTTCAGCCAACTGAGAGGTGGTGGGAAAAAACAAGGGTAAGTACAAAACACGAGAGATGTTGAAACGGATATGTTTTTGTTAAATACTTGAAAAAATAGAAGAATAAAAAACTTTTCTGTACCACAAGACAAACATTCAGGAGGTTATTGCMGTATCTCCAAAATATATCTGAGCTGCACCGACCTGAACTTTCTCAGAACAAACAATAATTTAACATCACAGAACTGATAATTACTTATAAAAAACACAACTTAAACAACTTAAAATAAAAGTCAATCTCATAAAAACTTGCATTTTATGCAAACTCCCTTCATTAAATGCATCTAAATTTTTGTGTTGGAGTGAGGTTTAAAGTTCACATTCTTGGAGTGTATTTGATGTTTTAATAAACTCTAAATAAATAAATTTGTGAATCTAAAAAAAAATTAAACTTTATCTTTTTGTTGCTGTTTCTGAAGGCAGAGCACGTTCACACATCTTTACACGAAGTTTTCAGCAACTAATGCTAAATGGTGGATTACTGGAGTTTTGTGTGGCAGTTTACCTATTCGGAAGGAGAGYGGCCCACCACAGGTGCTTCTCACCCACATGGCTAAGAAGAGCAGAAGCGCCCGGGCTGCGAGCATCTTCTATGACTCCTCATGGGTCCTGCCCCRGGTGTGCCCCTGTCACAGCCACCTGGAAAATATGCAGACAAAAAAATAAATTATTCCTGCAAATCTGACAACAAGGGACACAAAAACACACACTGTCACACTCTCTTTCATCGACTTTGTTGCAGGGAATCTGTTAGTGTTATTGGAAAACTGCTGCAAAGTGAATCTAAGGCCTGCGGGACTTCTGATGGCTGCTTCCGACTTTTCTGTCTTTACTGTGTTATTGGACAAGAACGTTATTTTATTTTTGCTGTGTGTGTCACAAACACAAATAGGATATAATCCTGCTTCTTTTGTATATATCATTGCACATCTCTTCTTCTAGACACTATTTTCGTTCCAGGTATTCAAGTTTAAATAAAAGAGCCAGAATCTCTAATATTCTAAGCAAAAGTGACCCAAATGATCAAGTTTTCTTTGTCAGTCTGTTATGTCTTGTTGTCAGGAAAATAATTTCAATCAAACACATCACACTGCATTTAAGAGTAATACAGTATGTTGATGTAAATGTAGCTGCAGGAAAAAAATCTAAATAAAGTTGCTTTTCTTTCATTTCCTCAGGATCTACAGGTGCTGGTCATAAAATTAGAATATCATGAAAAAGTAGATTTATTTCAGTAATTC